CTACACGTGTGTATTTCAGATGCCAGCAGCGTGCAGTGAAATTGTTGGAGATATTGAGGATCTCATTTCTTCTCAAGATATAACTCCAAAAGAGCGTTATAGCAACAAGAAATCAGTTACCGTCCGAGCAAGAAAGAAACAAAATGCGCAAGTTAAACATGAATCAGAAGTAGAGACGTACACTGCACCAGCCAGTATCATCCCAGGAACACAGACAATTTATATAAAAACCTGGGGCTGTGCTCACAACAGCTCAGATAGCGAATATATGGCAGGACTCCTAACAGCATACGGCTATACTTTAACAGGTGAGTTGTATGAGAATTGAGACTTTCACAGTTGTCCATGTTTATTAAATTGAGTCTTCTGAGTATCACAGACAGTGAAGAACTTACTGCCTTCTTCTTCAGGACATTTATATCAACTTCCATGAACAGGGAACAAGATTATTTCTGTAAACAGATGGTGGAAGCCTCCTCTCTTAGCAGCATAATAAAAGAACAGAGAAAATGATTAAATCAGTCAAGTTTTGGAGCATTGTTTCATGGTCAGTGTTCAGATGAGTGATCACCTGACAGCACCACTTGCCAGTGGAAACATTACAAATAGTCTGACTTGGTTGGAAATCAGCATGTGCCATAATTGTTTACACCATTTTATGATAGTCCTGTAATATGTGCCCTGTGATGCTGCTTTCGATTCAATATGACCCTGAAGAAGACAGCAGTATATCTCCTAAGAACATCAGTAACTTTTAATACTTTGAGATTGTGCAGTACTCAGGAGGCTGTAATGCTATAGTTACTGATTTCTGGCAAGGGCTGTAAAGTACTGAGATTTTAGCATATATTGAACATGTCTGTATCGAACTGTGACTGGTACCAGGCCCATTGTCTGGGAAAATGTGTCGCAGTGCCACTTTGTCCACGACAAATCCTATCTGGACTGTCTTGGGTGTGAACCTGGGCCCCTGGTGAGAATATGGCAACTACCCACCTGAGCTATGTCATGGCCTATTGAGCACAAGTTAACTAGGCTTTCATTATTTCTAACAGGATACTACTCTTATGAAATCCATCATTCAATGATTACATCTTTCCAATGCACAACATAAGTAACAAAACTGTATCACTGCTGCAGTTCTCATATGCTGGTATCTTCTGTTATTTCAGACAATAAATTAGATGCAGACCTGTGGCTTCTGAACAGCTGTACTGTTAAAAACCCTGCAGAGGATCATTTCAGGTAGATATCTAGAATGTATAAAATGCAATTGACAAATAAAATAATATATAAATTACCTTTTCAGTGTGCCCTTTGCATGACGTGTATGACATGACTGGATAATAGCAAGGAATCTTGTGTGTCCAAATCGTTCATCTCCACAGTTACTGAAGGAATTTTGTTATTGGGAGTCTGCACTGAAAATTGAACAGTTTAATTTTGCTTTGTATTAGTTCAGTACTTTAAATAAATTTCAGATCTGATTTTACTGATTTGCTTTATAGCAATTAATTGGTATTTGTAATAATAATGAATGTCTAGTTCAGTCAGATGTATAAAATAGCAAAGTGTGTGTTTGGAAAAGTTTTGCTTCCCTCCAGTAGATCTTTCCACTCTTGTTGTGTATGCACTAACACAACTGAAATATAAAATAATTGAAAACTATGTAAGTTACAGGAAAATTGACGGAATGCCAATTCTTATACTGTATTGGTTTTTGAAAGTCTAAGCTTTGTATATTCTTCATTGATGTTTTGAACCAGTAATTCAATTTTAATTTAAATTGGCATGAAAGTCATTCCATAGCAGGTCACCACAGTGTATATATTTTTTATATATCCTTACCTTGCAATTATTCCAAGATGATATTGCATGAACAAAGTCTGTGCCATGCAGTTCAATGTAGTGCCATGTATGGTCATTGCTCTGAAATGAAAAATGGCTCATTATGTAAAAGTAATACATAGTATAAAATTACCTACACTTTAACACATAAAACATTCATCCAAAACATTTTGTGTTTGGTGTTAGGTCTTCACATAAAGTGAGTAATACTGACAATTTTTAATTTTTATAAATTTAATAAGGGTTTGCTAAATAACACTTTTTCAAAAAACTGACAGAGTTCAGGAATGAGAGGTTTTGCAGTTGGAAGAATAGACATGTTAAGCCCATAATGCTATTCTAGTGTTAAAAGAACACCCATAAAATATTTAATTCTTGTGTAGCATTAGAGTTGTTGAAACCTCTTAAAATGTATGATTCACTGTGTAAAAGTAACATTTGGCTCATTTCTGCCACCTGACGCAGCTTGTTGCCCGAGAGTCTTTCATTAACTTCGGTCACTGCAAAAGCTTCACTTTATAAATCAGGAACTATTATTATTTCTGCTCTATGTTTTACACAGGTTATGGTGGAAAATATTATCGGTCAGGATTAATATTTTCTGCTCGTGCACTGTCTGTCATTCAGAATAATGAAGTGAATAGGAAATACAGTTTTGGCTGTGTATCATAGGTTCTTTGAGAAGAGTTAGCTCTGTCATTGAATATTTCATTGCAGCATAAAGATGTCAGAATCTACTGCTGACTACTTCATTGTGAAACAAATAAGAAAGAATGCTAGAGGACATTATCCCTAACGCTTTGTAAAGATTAAAGAAAGAGTATTTCTTCTTTGGTAGGAATGAAGTGGAAGCAGGACAGAGAAAGGGAAAGGCAGTGGTTGTTGCAGGTTGTGTTCCTCAAGGAGCACCAAAAACTGGTTTCCTACATGGATTGAGTGTAATTGGGGTACAGCAGATTGACCGAGTTGTTGAAGTGGTTGAAGAGACTCTTAAAGGTACAAGGTATACAGAGGAACTTCTATCTGGTGTAATGAAGTAATGTTACTGTAGATTCCCTGTTAAAAATGTTATAATTCACAAATATATTTTAAATTCTATTGAGAGGTGTGTGTGAGGTGAACTCCTCATCTGTCATATAGTTAAAATTAAGTACCCCAATAAAAAATATAAATTAAGTTTAAAAATCAAAGTAGAAGGAACATAAATTCAGGAAATACATATTATTTAAACAAAAATTTTCCATCTCATTTCATAACACTGAGATTGGAAGGTGGATCATACTGGCTTAGGATTGCATCCATTTATGGATTCTGTGTTGAAGCTTAAGCTTCAGGTTCTTTTAACTAACTAGATGACTTACCGAACCCGAAGGTTCATCACCGAATTAACCAAAGCCCTCCACCGGATCCTGTTCTGGGCCGTGAGAACATCAAATTCAAATTAGAAGATTTAATATGTGAAAGAACATGTTAAGTTATCAGATACAGCATATGATGTATGTATATGCATGTTTGTACACTTCACCTTAATTATTAGGATGAATATAATATGCATGGTAGAGATAATAAATATACAAAGTTTGGTTGAAAAACCTGAAGTGTTTCAAAGACCTAGACATACATAGGAAGGAGGATAATATTAAAATCAATCAGTATTTTAACTGATTCTACTGGGTTAATGTAGGTACCATTGGTGGTCTCTTGTGAACATGGCAGGGACCATTTTGTTTCCATAAATAGTGGGAATTTATTCAGTGGCTAAGTGACTATCAACTCTGCTCCATGGGTTTAGCAATATATATATATATTTAAATGTATTTATTTGTTTCACTTTCTTCAGGTCATACTGTAAGACTCTTTGGACAGAAAAAGGAAGGGGGAAGAAAGACTGGAGGAGCATCATTACTCCTGCCTAAAGTTCGTAAGAATCCACTCATTGAAATTATTCCAATCAACACTGGCTGCCTGAATCAGTGCACATACTGCAAAACAAAGCATGCGAGAGGTGACCTTGGGAGCTATCCTCCAGGTATGTGAACCTTTTACTGTTTATAACTTGGATGAAACTCCTGAGGAATTCACAGCACTAATTGTATCAGCATATCAGAGTTATACAAACTCCAGTTGACTTATACCTCTAACGCATTTATCATCTTGAGGGGAGATGTGATAACACATGTGCATTACAAGGTTTGATAAAATAAGGATGAGAGACACTAGCAAAGGTCATACTTATATGAATATCACATGCCTCCAAAAAAGACATCTCAGTTTCTGAAAGAAAAATGTCATAATTACTGCCAACGTCAAATGGGGGATGAACGATATATACAGGTGACTTACTGTATATGGGGCAATAGCATATAAAATTTGGCCACAGATAGTATATTGATGTTTGTAATACTGAAAGTGTGAATGTGAAAATCAGATATCGAAAGATAACAAGAGTGACCTGTACCAAGATTCATACAGGTTTAGTATTGTTATGGTTGACAGTAAAGGGAGATTGTGATGATTTTGACATCGAGCTTATAGATGAAAATACATAATTAATACAGAATTTTGGTGGGGGAAACATCTTGGAATGTAAGATTAGAGGTTTTCACAGTGGTGAGTATGAAGATTTCTGTCTTCTGGGTTGATGAATAGCCCTGATGACGGAGGCAGTATGACCTCTGAAATGTTGGTAAACATCGACCAGACTACACAGCGCAACAACCCAGAAGACAGAATTCTTCATCTTGGAATGTGATCACATGGAAGACAGGAAGATTATGTATTAAGAATCTTCTTTGAGAAAGTGGTTGGAAGGATGTGAAACAAATTGAACTGGCTCAGGATCACATCTGTTGGTGAGCTTTCATAATACTGGTGTTGAATTTTCAGGTTCTTTTGCAAGAGATTTAGTTTTCTGGTTATAAAACAAATGAGATCAGACACAAAAGAACACCAACCATTTTATGCAGTGAATTTAGTAAGAATATGAGGGTATGTCCATTTGCATCATTCATATAAACTGTAAGGTGTACAGTTACAGAATTATGTTCCTTTTGTCATATCTTTTTTTCTGTTTGCAGATGAGATTGTTTTTCGAGCCCAGCAATCTTTTAAGGAAGGAGTATGTGAGCTGTGGCTGACATCTGAAGACACTGGCACATATGGCCGAGACATTGACACCAATCTACCAGAGCTCCTCTGGAAGCTAGTGGAGATTATACCCTGTGGCTGCATGATGCGAGTTGGCATGACTAATCCTCCTTATATTCTGGAGCACTTAGAGGTATGAGGATGAATATCAGTGAAACACATACAAGGTGCTTCTTACAAAGATCCTGGTAACCAAGCCATTGGCAGTATAACCATTACATCTGATGTGAAGAGGTCACATCCATCTGCCTGCCTTGCATGTTTCATATCAGAAACTACTCAGTAGATTTTAATGTAATTTGATATTAGGCCTCGATGCCAGAAGTTGGATCAATTTGATTTTGGTTTATACCAAATATAACACCTACTTCAAATGAGAATGAAATTTAACTTTTATGTTTTCTAAAAAATGGCCCATCATGGAAAATTATGTAAAATAACCTCGTGAAGATCTGCAATGTTGCACAGATCTTTTTAGTACTAGGTTGTACAGTCTTTATTAAATTTGTGTACATGTTATATTGTACTAGGAAATGGCAAAGATATTGTCACATCCAAGAGTCTATAGTTTCCTACACATCCCAGTGCAGTCTGGAAGTGATGCAGTGCTTGGGGACATGAAGAGAGAATACAACAGGGCAGATTTCCAGAAAGTTGTTGATTACTTGCGTGAAAGGTATACTTCTGTACTTCTATTGAAGTACTGCATAATGAGATTACATTTATAACAGTTAATAAATATTGTCTTTATGTCACACAGTAAGGGGTAACAAAGACAGTAATAAAAAACCCTGCTTGTGAACTAGTTCTGCCTATAAGGCATGTTCTGCTGGGACTATCATGAACATGTATATTCAGTATTTAGAGGTGCGATGTTTATGTACATGTTAAGAGATGATATAGCCATGCAAAACATTTTATTGTGTGATGGTTATGTACATGTTAAGAGATAATATAGCCATGCAAAACATTTTATTGTGAACAACAGATCCCTAACTCTGTGGAACTACAGTTGATAGTTGTTCAGCTGATCAAAAATTCTGTGCCTTTATGGAATCCAAAACTTTGTTTCAGTGTTCATAAGATCCTGTCTCTAAACTCTGTCTTGAGCCAGCTGAATCCAATTCATGTCCACACATCCTATTTCTTCAAGAACCATTTTAATATTCCCTTCTAGTTGTATGTCTCCCTTGCGGATTTTTGGCCAAGATTTTGTACATATTCTCCTTTCTTGTGTGTATGCTACATGCCTCATCCATCTCATCTTTCTTTATTTAACCACGCTAACAATATTGTAATTGTCATTTGTGTTATTGTTTTCTAGAGTTCCTGGTATCACCATTGCTACAGATATTATTTGTGGGTTTCCAACAGAGACAGAAGAAGATTTCCAAGATACCATGAGTCTTTGTAAGCAATACAGATTTCCAAGTTTATTCATCAACCAGTTCTACCCACGGCCAGGAACCCCTGCTGCACGAATGCCCAGACTTCCTGCACAAGAGGTAGTCATGCTTAGAGATTTACACAAACATGCTTCTGTTGTATGTATAATAACAGCATTGGTATACAAGACATTAATAATAATTTAATGAGAAATAAATGATACAAGTAGACAAGTTTTCAGGTAAGGCATAGTGGAATACACCGTACATGAGCTTTGGCCACATGAGATATTCCTGTTTCTTCCAAATAGGTGAAGAAGAGGACAAGACAGTTGTCAGAGTTTTTCCAGTCTTACCAACCTTACAGTCACAAAATTGGAGAGGTGCAGGATGTATTGGTGACTGAAGTGTCGCATGACAGGAAACATTATGTTGGCCATAACAAATTTTATGAACAGGTAATTAACACTAAAATAAGGCTAAGTCAGCATTAATCACTGCAGAGTAGGGGTTAGCCTTTCTGGATCATATTCATGAGGTCTCCATTTTAGATATAAACTGAAAGACCAACTGTTCTTACCAACATGTCATGGTTTTACTCAGTACATCAAGACAGATGCCAAGATGCTATCTTGAGATAGTGACCATTCTCCCAACATCTTTGTCATGCCATTGTTCATTTGGTGCCATATAATCTCAGCAGATGACACAGCATCATTAAATACAGTTTGTAAAATGAATGTGTACTAATGTTTTGTTACATGTGAACAAAACCAAGACATACATGGAAGGATAATATTAAAATGGCTTTTAAATAAATTGTATTTTAGCATCATAGATTATATTTACTCAGTATAAGGCCAGATAGTGAGCTCTTGTAAACATAGTAATGATGGGTTCTGCCAGTTCCTCAAGAATTCTACTGCCTGTGGCCGGTTACAAGGGAACCAATATTCTAGCAAAATAAATATCTTGTACCATGAGTACTGATTTTTGTTTATTTGTAAGTAAACAGTAAGAAGCAACTGTCATCAAGTGATCAACACTTCTGTTTCTGGGTTCAAATAGCCCAGTGACTGGGTATTCTGGGGTTTCTCACTATTTTATTCAGTTCCCCCAGACATATGCTGGGATAGTACCTTAAATTAGGTTGCAACTGCTTCCTTCAATGCTGTTTTCAAATTATTATTCACTAATCATCCTATTACTCAACAGTTTATCTGTGGTGCCCTGTAAGAAGGGCTTAAGTCAATATACGAGTGCGGCTGTTGAAGATGGAGGTTCTTATTCCAGCTCCCGCCGCCTGTGAAGTGCGGTCAGTGATAACGCTAGGCCGCACACGGTTCGACGGACAGCAAGTCTCCTGCAGGAGTTTAGCTGGGAGGTGTTTAATCATTCACCCTACAGCCCGGATCTCGCTCCCAGTGATTTCCATCTTTTCCTACACCTCACGAAATTCCTGTCCGGTCAGCGTCAGCGTTTTGAGAATGACAGAGAGGCGGAGATGGTTGTCACACAGTGGTTCCAATCCCAGGCGGCAGACTTCTACGACACAGGTATTCAAAAGTTGGTCCCACGGTATGACAAATGTCTCAATTCCGGTGGCGAATATGTTGAAAAATAGCTGGACACTTGCTGTATCTGTTGCAATAAATATTCCCATGAAATTGTGTTTTGTTTCTGTAAACGGCCCCAGGGAAACTTACTTTAAGGACGAGCCTCGTACAATGTGAAGCCATTGTGAGCTTCAAGGATATGTCTTTAGTATTTGACACTGTTGTTAGGTAAACCAAGACTAAATGAATAAATAACATGTACTGTAATGTTGATTCCTGACTTTCATGATTAGTAATTGCACTAATGAGCAGCTTTAACTCTTTTCTTCCCTATGAAGGATATTATGTAACTTGTGAACATTATTGCAGGTGCTGCTGCCAAAACATGGAGAACTAGTGGGAAAAATGGTGGCTGTTAAGATTGTATCTTGCAGCAAGTATTCTATGAATGGTGAGCCATTACAAAAGGGATCATCAAGGCTATCTTATGATCTTACCTCTCCACTATCTTGGGGCAAGGTGTCTGGGATAGAAGCTGCTCCTACATCTCATCATCTCATTCCCTAAAAAAAAGCTGTTCTGACAAGAGTACTGTGGCTAATTTTATGACTTTTCCCAGATGCTGCTGTGAGGTGTCATTTGCTGTTATCTGTAAGGATTTAAAATTAAAGTTAACTTTACATAAGCTGTTTAAATACTTTCTTTGAGTATGTAACAGAAGATGAATTGTAATAGTATGCAAATGATATAATTTATATTATTGTAAAGACAATAAAATACATTACAGTATTTTTATCATAGGCTGTTCCTTTGAAATCCATGCAGGACCTCTATTCCATTACAAATATTTTTATCTCTTACACTTATTCACCCTGAGAGTTTGAAAGAGATGTGCAAAAGGGATGTAGTAAATAACATGCCTTATTTGTTACCATAATATTACATTACTCAAACCTGCTATTTACATATTATGTGACTGAGAATTGAAGAGCCCGATAAAAAATGATAACCCCAAAATCGTATTTAATTGAGTTTAGTTAAGCTGTCCTGCTACATGCTATGGAGGCACTTGGGGGAGGGTTTTGATGTTACTCATTCTTGACCTTGGCACTAGATGGGGTGAGTGGTCAGTCACACCCTAGCTGCACTTTACCCCTTGGAAAAGGACCCCCAGTACCCACTGGATAGGAGGCTGGGTGGACCGCAGAGCCAGTCTGGATGCTAATCAGTCTTTAGTCAGACACTGACCTGACTGAGCTACCCCATAACATTTTTATTTATTAAAATAGCAAAAACAGCACAACATTATGGTGTAAGAGTCTAATAACTCCACTAAAAAACAGCCACTGAATAAGTGTGTTTGGTGCAAGAAAGAGATACATGTTAAAACACATCCCTCGACCATCATAGTCATCATCATCATCATCATCTCTATAGCCCTGTATGTCTTCAAAAGCTTCTTCCATTCTTCCTCATTCACAGAAAATATTTGCCAGTCCGCCATGAATGAGTCCATTCAGCAGTTAATCTGATTTCGTAACAAGTTGCTTTTTACAGGGTTGGGTTGTCAGCCCCACGCCCACCCCCCAACCTGGAGGACCAGACCTCCATATTTGCAGCCCCCGGAGGTAGGGTGACCCAGCTATACCCCCAGGCACTTGGTAGCTTGGGGATGCCAGTCCCCTTACCCACTGTTGTGGGTCCCTGAGGGGTTGGCCATCATAGTGCAGGCTAGAAAAATGGAGTGTCGCACACACTGCATTAATAACTGGATTAGGTCTAAGCAGATGATGTGATGTCTGGAATAGCAAGGTTTTACTGTATATAAATGTTTTAGATAAATAAAATATGTATCTATAATTGTTTATCGTCTGGAGTTCGACCAACTAGTGGAAATTATTTCATTTATGCAGTGTTTTCCAGGAATGAATCTACCATTAAAATTCAGAAATGACTATATAATGAGGATAGGATTTTCAGTTATGTACGTATTCTAAATCTTAATTAGATAAAGTTGGAGGTTTCTGAAGATGGAGCGAGACACTGATTTTTGAACTTCATTCATTATCTAGGTGTTTTAAAAGTTGATTCTGCTTCAGTCATCAGGTGACATGAGGACAGAACATAATTTGTTGAGTTCCATGGCTCAGTTAGTCTCAAACCTGGACCAGTTAGGTTTCTGTTCTAAGATTTGAAGACAGAAATAGAAAGAACTTCCAAAACATCTAGTTTTTCAAAAGATCAATATGATGAATGAGGAGAGAAAAGACAACATAATCTAGCTAATTAGTTCATTATGTACCACAGCAGCAGTACCTGGGGTTCCACTCTGGGTTTGGAAATCAACTGTCCAATGAGGGGATGTAAGCCTAGAAGATTGTGGGGACCAGACACATAAACATCGTAGTAACATGGCTGCTTCATCAACTTGCATTGAATACTGGGAGGCAGTCTTCAGCCATTACATCTAAAAACACATAAACATCAATTCAAATAGATTCTTATGCAACACATCTATAGACAGTTAATGTTTACTGTTTATACAAGAATACAAATTAACACAACATGTATTGTAGAGTGAAAACAATTCAAGACTTGTAGCTGGTAATGGAAATGCTACAAACATAGCAGTAACAAGAACTTCAGCAGAAATATTGCAGCTAAACAAGATAAAAAGTTGTAATAGAATAAAATATATTTTTGCACTTCAATATTCAGTTTCAACAGGATATGTAATAAATGGCTGTTTTCCTCTCATCAAAAACTGTAACATCACTCTATACTTTTATAAAATATTTTCACAATAAATAAAATAATTTCTTGCAGTAAAGGGGTTGTCAGATTCTTTTTATCACCTACTTCACTTATGTTTTGGAAGTATTTATAAATTTGTACTATGGACTTGTAACAAACAAGTTCCTGCAATATAAATAGTGATGTACTTTCCATTGAATATCCAAGCACTTGTCAGGGGAGACCACAAAACCTTCAACCAGCATAATCAGTCCCTTGCCAAGTTCAAGTCAAGTCCCATGCCAACATATTCATGATAAAAATAATTACTAGAATGGCATTGAAATATTTCAGTGCTCTGTCAAACTTCCTTAATAAAATATAAAGTAAGAATTTATGGATATTATATGCATATAAAAAATAAATATCACACATTCTGAATGATAAATTCTCTTCCATACCAAATACATAACTCAAAACAGATCAGTACTTATGTAACTAAGCACTAAATATGTAACTCCATTGTATAGGGTATAGTTAAGCTGATATTTGCTCAGAGGGTCAAGAAATTTTGGAACACAATGACTCATTATTGTTTTCACATAAATCCTTCACTTGGCCTTATCCTGAATCAGTTTAATATATCCAGATCTTCACACATGATTTTAAGATATATTTCTCTTTTCCCACATGAGTACTACATGTCCCACCCATCTCAAGCTTCATGTAATAACAATATCAGATGAAGAGTAGAATTATGAAATAGGACTTGTGGCTCTCATGGTGGTGAGTTTGAAGATGGCTATCTTCTGGGTTATAGTGCCATGCTGTGCGGAAGAAATTTACCAGCATTTCAGAGGTCCTTGCTGCCTCCATCATCATGGTTATGTGTTCACCCTCATTACCCTGAAGATGGAAGCAGCAAGGACCTCTGAAACAATGGTAAACTTCTAACAGACTACATGGTGCTACAACCCAGAAGACGGCCATCTTAGAAATTATGAAGCTCCTTATTATGTGATGTTCTCTAGTTCATTTTTACTTCATCTCCCACATGCAATGCCTTGTGTTAAGTTCCCAAACACCCTCTATCTCAAACCGAGTGGCCAAGTTTCTTATCCACAGAAAACAACACAAAAATTGTTATTCTGCATATTTAAAGGTTAGGTTTTTTGACAAAAGCAACAAATTCAGTGGACATCAACTAGAAAACTGTGGAAAGGGGGACCAAACATTGCTGGTTACATGGAAAGAGAAAAAGTGTGAAGCAAGGGACCTGGGAATGAAAAACAATTATAGGACAAAACTGGAAAATTTGACAAAGCAACTATATGAAAATAAAACTAGCAAGTGAGCCAGGAAGAGACTGTGGTTAACAACAAATGACTGGCTGAAAGACTGATTTAAAAATATTGCAATTCCTGAATGCCCTTTATTCAAAACACATTTGTAATGTACATTGCAATGCTGCTCTATCTGCACAACAAGCTAATTTTAGTTTGGACAAAAATCACACTTTGTCCATCAGTGGATGTACTACACAACATATGTAGGAGTGAGAACAAGATGAAGTACTTAAGGATGTTACCTTTCCACATCACTGTAATACAGTGAATAACTGGATGCTCATCATTCATAACATTAGCACTGATGACATTTTTAAAATGGCAGCAGGTCAAATGAACAGTCCTCTTCACAGTATGTGTACTATTAACCTCACAGAGAATGCAGAAAAGCAAAGATAAATGGTGCAGGTGCATATGTACAGACTAACAAAATGAGGTAATGGGAGCACTTAGATAACCAAAGATAATAATTTTTAATTTCAGACTAACATCATCTTCATAATAACAACATATTTCAATATGCATGGGTCCTCCACACAATAATCTGAATAAATAGAAAATAAATACAATTAACTTTCACTAACTCTAAATTTGTCATTTAGGTAATGAAGATTACATGAGATCTGATATTTAACGTTCAAGCATAAAATATGATATGTTAGATGTTTTCACTTTTCCACAGACTACAGTATAAAGGACTGACAGAAGTTAACCATACTTTTATTTCTGTGTGTAATAATGAAAACAATAGTAAAAATATTTTGATAACTAGAATCTACTGGTTGGGTGCTGAAATATGCATTTAAGTACTTCATCTTCAATGCAGCTAGCAGTACAATTAAAAATAACCAAACATTATACTTCAGTAAACTAATTTAATGGGCAGACTTAAGTAAACATACAGAAAATTAATATAAAACATAATATGCATCATAGTGACAGCTATGATAATGAACCAACACTGTTACATACAAAATAACAATAAAAGGAGAGCACATCAAGACCAGACAGATATTTCACTCAAACACAAACATAACTGAAGGGGAAAGAAAAAGCGCATAATTTTACTAATTTTTCTGTCCAATTTCAAATTTCAAACAGCAATTTTCTGTATTACTTAAATTAATAAATCTCAAAGCTAGATTCAGTGTTACGACAGTTTATGGTACACATAGATATATTTGTGTATTTGGAGATAATATTTTAAGGTCAGGAAACATTGTCCTGTGCATATCAGCCACTATGCCATGATGTAAGGGGTAGTAGAGATAAAACTTCACGCATTCTTAGCTTAGACGATACACGAAGGTGAGTGTATAGCCTCATACTCCAGCTGCTATGCATACAGGGACAGGAGGCCCTAGAGTCAGTGTAAAGGTGGTGGTTATGATAAAAACCCATGCCCCTGCCAGGAATCAATTCCAGCACACAGTTTAGTTACTACACTGACTGAGCTACATGTAAATTATATAAAGTCAGAAAGGGACCTTTCATTATACCAAGAATACAGTGAAGATAGTAATATGTAACTATCACCTTGTTGTCTCAAACAAAAAAATCCTTGTTCGTGTCCCTTACCATAGCTAATTTTACATATATGAGAATTCTGCAAATGTCATATACTTTGGCTACTACATAACTTAAAACTAACTTCAATAGTTCAGTACAGCAAGATTATTGCATCTCTTTGTAACCTTGAGGAAACATATAAGTTAAATGAAGTAACCGCCATAGCTGCATGAAATGTGGTCATATTAGAATTTAAATACTGCAATATACCTCACAAATGAGAGCTTTCATGTCACATATGTGTCTGATGTTAATATATATGAAATCAATCCACTGGCATATTACAAAAATATCATGAGTTCTTAGTTCTAATAAACCACAACACTCATCAATAAATGCAAGTCCCAAGTGTTATCACTCTAATAATCGCTACATTAATTCCCATACAGATACATATGGAGAGTTCAGAGAGCAGAGTGCATCATTAACTCGTTACAAAGAAACAAAAGTTTTATTAAGCCACGTGAAATTAACATCAAAGGTAAGAACAAGTGTTTTATGGAAAAATGTTGCTTAATAACAATTTTCCTGGTATAAAATAATTTTAGTTACACTCCTCAAACCAAAGATCAGAGTTCCACAGCTAGACTGGCTTCGCTGCAATTCCTATAATCAGTGGTAACTTTCTGACATCACGCCGAATTACCAGCCCACAACCCTTCTACATTGAATCTGAATTATTGTGATGCAAACGTTCTAATAAATTTTTATGGATGAAAGCTCTCAAATATAACAGATTTTCATAAACACTAACAAAAATGCTTCATATTTGATGTCATATGTCAGGAAACAAGCATTTTTTTAAATCTCACTAAAATTTAGATATGCAGTTGACTGCTTAATAAAAGGTCAATTAACAATTTGGAGGTAATAAGTTGTAGTTTTTCACATTTAATGGGGCAGCCCTGTTAAAGCCAATGTAGTACCTTTTCATTTATAAAATCAATGCACAGACTATGTACAGGGTATACACAAAAGAATGGTGCAACTGTGACTGGTGACTCATTTTTGGACGTTGGAAAGCTGGTTGTTATCCCGACTGAATACCAATTATGACGATTACATTCTACAACTGGACGGAGCCACGAGGCAGATGAGGATCAGATAAATCTTGAAAGTAAAATCTTCCCATCAAATGACAAAATGCAAATTTCAGCAGTCAGTTTGCAATAAAATGTATTATAACATGGAAAAACACTGTCGCATTATGTGCAAAGAAATCAAAAGAAGTTCCATTTTTCCGCCGCTGACAGTGTATGTTGTGCCCGTGTAAGGCAAGAAATAATTTTTTTATTAACTTTTGAAACTGCATCATTCTTTTGTGTATACTCTGTATATGAGGAAAGTCCATACTTTTGATGAAATGCAAAAAACAAACAACAATAGTTGTAAAGTTCATGAAGTATACTGCATAAAACAGAGACCGATCATATATTCTGAGTCCAAAATGTTTTGTATTACCAGTCACTTTACAGTTGGCAATTCTGTCTTGCATTCTTATATCACCAGGATTCACACAACTTGACATTCAGTAAACTGCAGTTGGTACATGAAATTATTACAATCTATGAGATAAAAAACGATCAAAATTAACAATCAAACTACAAAGTATACATAGAAATTAAAGTTGACATATGAAATCTTCCACTGAGATCGGCAAGGTAACTACAATTGAATCAATGACTGCCATTGTTAATACTAAAACATTAAATATATTCTGAAATACATAAATAAATAACTTACTAACTGAATCAAGTTCAATTTTGGCCAACTTAAGGTCAATTTTATTTATTAATATAGTATATGGTATCAAGTACATTGGTTTAAGTATTCTAAACTGACTTAAAATAGGACTGTAAATATATGTATCCCGTTTCTACTGCCACACAGTGTTAGATGGGCAAACACTGAACCATAACAACACACAAAGCACAAGTTTTATTTTCTTTACCTGTTCAAGTCAAATTCTAACTCCAAAAAGTTTAAGAGAAATGTTACTCTTTCTTAATTTTTGAGGAAACAATTTTGCTAACCCGTCTTTTACAAATTCCGTCAATTATTAAAATGTAACACATATAAACTGGAAATTCTGTAATAAAATAATATTTTGAAATGCACTACACAACCCAGAATTAGTGGAAGGGTAGGAACATAAACAGAGTAGTTCTTTCTGTGTGAAAAACTTGTAAGTACAAACATATATTCTAGGTTTTCCAAGATGTTACTGTTTTTTGAAGCTCTTATATTTCCACAGTTTTATGAATGAATTCAAGGAAATTTCTTCTGTTCATTTCGGTAATCACAGATTTTTAAAATGATGACTTAGAACACAGTACAATTGCAACTGCTTCATTCTTCAGTTGTTAACTTCCATTTTATGGATGGCAAAATTTCATTTTACAACATTTTTATATGTTAAGTACAAAAATTCTTACAGTTTTACCTCAAATTAAATGTGTTATACACAAGTGACCATAGACATGTTGTGTGGGCATGTGAGCAGAAATGTGTGTACACACAAACACAATGCTCATAATTAACAGAGGAACTATATGATCTCAGTACTAAGGGACAGTGATCAAAACAGAACTAAATATAAAAGTTAATTTATACAACATATCAACAAACCACTGGGCACCAAAGTACAAAACTGCCAAAAACATGGAAATAATGTACTTTTATTACAGTTTCTTACTGATAATGGACAGGGAAGACTAAACTTACTGAAAGTTACCCTTTATGTGTAAGAAATTAAATACATTACTGTTCAGCCCTAGACAATTTCCTTATACATAGTCTTAAACATTTTCTGGGCAAAAGAAATTCTCAAGGAAGAACTATATGATAAAATAACAATCTAAATGGTAAGTGATAGACATTCTTTACTTATTATATATCAAATATTGTATAAATTCTGTCTAGTGGAGTCAATAAGCATTAGCATACAACTGTTGTATTAAAGCACTTGCATTTTTTCTTCACACTGTCACAAAATCAGTACAGTAACATATCTGGGATATCATACTGAAATATCTTGTGTGTTGAATTCACAGAAGACAGAAGTTACTGGGAGGAGACGGCAAACTAAGTGGATCACACGTACAGAATATCTGGTTACAATGAGCCCAAATAGAAGCGCTCACAGTTATTTTCCAACATAACATGAAGTCCTTTCTCAATGCACAGAAAAACAATCCCATGGCACACACAAACTGCCACCCACACTATGGACAATTATCTTACTTCGCCGCAATGGTTACTAAAATTCAGAGCTGTTCATAAAGTCAAAAGAAAGAAGAGTCATACATATGGAAACTCAAAATTATGCCAAAAAGTAGAAGTAACAGACAAACAAAGTTATTCTTTTTTATAATATCTACAAATTACAACATATTTTATTCTTGTTATCTTAATGTGATAATGCTGACCACATTAAGAGAAGTTTGTCACAGAAAGTACATTATAAAGGGCTCTTATGCTGTTACCCATAACAAATATTTTAAGATGACTGTTAAGTGAGGAAATAACAGTTGATTTGAACACCATTATACCAGATTTTACTGTACCACATTGCAGGAAAAATTGCATTACAAGCAACTTAAATATTCAGTTTCTGTTTGAAGGACTGTGACCCCCACCTGACAAGAGGCTCAGCAGTGTAACGGTACGGGTTGTCAAACACTGTCCTTTACATAGTGGAAGATCCTACATGTTAACCCTGGTTCACTGGAAGATGGAATAATATTAATCCAAACATATAGTCTACATAACTTACCCATGTCTATCAATAAAGACTATGAGAAAAAAGTTTCTTCCTGAATGTTGGTGGCAATGTCTCTTGCGCATGTTGGATTATGTTAGTCTGGTATGGATGTATTCAACTCTCTTCTGTGGGTTCAGTTCCAAAGTAACGGTCCCCAAAGTTACCAATACCAGGAAGAACATAGAACTTTTCATTTATTTCTGGATCTAATGCAGTTGTCACAATTCGGACTCCAGGGAAAGCGTATGCTATAGAATGCACTCCTACAAGAGAAACAAACACTGAAGTGTTACCATATCTAATGGCCTTACTAATATTAACATGAATATTAATGTACAATTTAACCTTGATATAGGAAGAATTTACTAAGAAAGATACTTAATTTAATGTGTGATAAAAGAATTTAAGTAATCAATATAATTCCAATGAAGCTAAAAGATGAGCATTTTTAGGTCATCTAATGCAGTTTGTTTGTACATGGTGGCTATTATATTCAATTTACACTTGCAATATTTAGTATCACTTACATAAGTACTAGACTGTCATCACTATTACAAAATTGTACCCACCCACCCGTGCGCACACACACACACACAATGAACACATGCATCACTCATCCTACCAGTTCCAGATCACGGAGGCAGAAAGTCTCAAAAACGAAAATTTATCCCATAGTGGTAACAAAAATATCAGTCAACATTACAAAAGAAATCAATTGCTAACACAGACTGAAAATAATTGCAGAAACCTCTTGGGCATTACATCAAATATTTGCAATTTTAAGAGCAACTTTCTTGAAGTAACATTGTGTCACTGATTCTCAAAGTGTCCACAACTCCTGCTTACCTATTTCAGCCATTAGAAGGGATACAATAAGAATGTTTTCTTCTGGCACATCATGGTCCAGCAGCACTCGAATTGCCATCATGGCTGCAGCCCCTGTTGCTACAGTAGCATCCATTAAGATTACTTTGTAGTCCTTTATGTCTTTAGGAAGCCTCAAGTAATATAACTGAAAATGTTGAAAACTATAAATGTTTAATACCTCTGGCAGTGCAATTAAAAGTACTGTGAAGTAAATATCTGATTTGAATGCCCCTGCAGTGATGTAACATGTCTCATAAACAAAGACACATAAAACAAATATGTTCACTCAGAAAAATATAAGGTTGGTCATTTCCTTCCTTAAACAATGGAGCCATGGTCAAACGGTTAACACTCCTGCTTCATATTCGGGAGGTCCCAGGTTCAAAGTCTGGCCCAGAGACCAGCAATCCTGACTGGGGTTTACTGTGTTTTCTTCAGTCCCTCCAGGCACATGCAAGAATACTACCTTAAATTAGGTCATAACCACTTCCTTCCACATCCTTTCCAATTCATTATTCACTATCATCCTCTCATTCAATGATATATAGTCTGAACCAATGAAAAAACGTTCTTAAATAAATAAATTATTTAAACAGGGGACTTAACTGCTTCATTACGGCAATTAAATCAATCATATTATATATTACTTTATAAGCAACTTACTTCAGGTTCTCCTGTGGAAAAGTTGGTCTGGATGAGGATCTTGCCAATACGAATGTCCTTACAGACATCACATACAGCCTGCTCCATGGTCTCTCCTGCTCGTAAGATGGATACACCACAGATCTTGTCACTTGCACATCGCTTTCCGTTGTACAGCACACCCTGTGGTGTCTCTATCATCTGCTCCTATAGTAACAGACATTTACTGTTCCATATGTGGATAGTAGCAGAGTGGGTATATAACATATATTCCCCACATAAGTCTAATCTAATCTCTTTTGCAAGATGGATTTGCCTACACCAGTGAAGTTTATTGCGTTCAGGAATAAACATAAAACTCATAACAACAAAGACTAACTAACTTATGATGAAGTTTAATTCAAACACAGATTGTGTATTTTTGACCAAGTTATGTTTTCAGGTATTCCTGTCTGTTCAGAAATACATGTGCCTCTATAAATAAATATCATGGCTTACAACTAAAGAGGAACTAATTTACCATTCAAGTTGTTATTCAAGTCAATGACAGTTACTAAAACAGCAGAATCATAGGACACTTCATTTTGCTGAAAGAAAAACGTGTTTCAAAGCAAGCAGAAAAATATAATTTATTCAAGAGACAATGAGCAAACAAATTCGTACCTTTTCTGACATTCTGCTAACATAACTACAAACATTTCTCACACTACCAGCTTGTCTGAAAGAAGTGTAACTCACCTTGAAAGGAAGTAGTGATAAAGCATATTCAATAACTAAACGGATTAGTCGCTTGGAATAGAATATGAACTCATCCCTTGGAGTATCTTTGTTACGAATGAATGTATGAAGGCCTCTAATCTGTGGCGTTGAGGGCAGCAAGTGGATGGAGTCTGGTAAGGGCTGTCCGATATATGAGTGAGCCAACTTCTCACGTAGTTTGAAACCTCTCTAAGAGATACAGGAATCATGTATTAAAAATAACATTGCACAAAACAGTCATAACTCAACATTTATAATACTGTTCAAAGCATTTACATATGCCAGAATTATGCAATGGCTCAGAGCTTAAAAAAAGGTATCATGAGACAGATGTACTTATACTTATTTTCAATTCTACTGTACACTTGTTAAATGGATCTGAACAAAAGATGGTAAGAAGATGCAGATTGAATTAATCTAGCTCAAGAGAGGGAACTGTTGTGAACACAGTTTCACAAAGTGGGGAATTTCTAGACTAGATGTGTGACTATTAGATATCTAAAGGAAGACCCTGCCCCATGAATTAGTTATTTATTTGTTAGTTTCCAATAGTAAGGATTACTACAGTAAAGCTGTCTCACTATATGCCATGCTGGCACTTATGGGGTGGGGTGGTGTAACAACTCAGAGTAGACCAAAACTGATAGCTTAAATGCCATGAGAACCACAAAACTCAACTGAGGTTAAAATTTTTTTTACACATCACAAATCAAGAGACAAATGCTTAAAACTATTCAAGGTATGAACTTTATCCAGTATAGCTTTCTCAGTGAGCTGCTTTGCAATTTCCCCAAGACAGTCACTGCCATCATACTCACCAACTGAAGCTGTGTATGTACATGATGAACAATCAACCCAATAGCCACTTCATTTTCTCCCCCTCGAGGAACAATGATATCAGCATGCACCATAGATGGAGCAATGTAGTGGTAAAATGCAGGCTTCACGAGGTTACAATACTGTTTCAAAACTCCTTCCAGATCTCGACCACGCTGACAAATGTCACGCTTCAACCTCCGGGCTAATCGAACATCTGCATCAGTGTCTACAAATATTTTCATGTCCAACATCTGTAACATTCCAGTTTAATGGAGTTTTTGAGGTGCATATAGACAAATACTTGTTTTTTAAAAGTTAATATTTAATTTCTGGTTTCTATGTCCATAACTTTTCACACACTCTTCTTTACTATCTGCTCACTCGAACAATACGTTTCGAACCAATGAGGCCATCATCAGGTTTGAAACATGCTGTTCAAGCAAGCACACAGTGGACAGTGTGTGTGAAAAGTGACAGACAGAAAAAGCAAGAACCAACTAAACACACTGGGATGCTACACTATAGACTTAATATTTAATACTTTTATGCCTAAAACGAAGTGAAACATACCTTCAAAATTTCAGCATGATAAAATGCCAAGATTCCTTCAAATATGATGACATTAGCACCATACATAGTTTTCTGAAATAAACAGACAATTGTAATAATAATAACAAAAAGAGATGAAGTACTAGTAACATTTTTAAACAAATTGTTGGTCATCATCTACATCACGGATTCTCAAATGTTTTGAGCCTTGTGTCCATGATGAAGTCACAGACTTATCTATGACAATGACAAACCTATTAGTACTGTTTTTCAGCTTGTCATCTCCTGAGTTGAACTGTTTAAATCAGGCAGATAATCAGTTTTCAAACTGTAGTACCAATACCCCTTGCGGTACCAGTGATGGTTTTCAAGAGGTACCATAAATCCTCACTCATATACGTAGAGCATTAATTAAAATAATGGACCTCCTTGCAGCCTAAAGCTAGTTCACATATTTTCTGCATTTAAAATTAATATAACCAAGCTGTACTATGTTATTTCTTTTAAACCAGCAATACAAATGTAGGCTGTTCCTTTTGAACCTAAAATTTTTATAAAGGTAATAAAAGAATTTATCAAAATTTGCAACTGGGAAGTGCAGATGTCCTATAATGAGGTAAACATGACATTAATCACCAATAGTTTATGGACTGTATTAGATTGAATACTTGAAATGTCAAAACTTACATATACAGTAGGGCACCGCTTATACGGCAGGGTAGGGAGCAGACGTGTGTGAGCTGCGTCGAAAGACGAGCATATATAATGTACCCCAGCTGCGAAACCTGACGGACAAAAATACCCCAGAGGATATTTATATGAACCGTGAACACCGAAAGGTTACGGTTCTCATAGTCACATCAATTAGTCCAACGCTTATTGTCGGTTATCTGGAGGCCCTCCTCGGTATTATCAGTCTTTCTTGTATTGTGGTAATATTGTTTACAAATGTAAGACAGTAATCTTTCGAGTTCATGGCTATTGGAGTGGGGCGAAGGAGGTGAGACAGCGTCAGCCTTTAACGTTTCGTACTTCTTGCTTTCCTTGCAATTCCAAGATTACAGTCGCGTACTATGCCCAAGGTTTCTGTTGTAGTTTACAATCACGTTCCCGCCAAAGGAAACGCGTCTAGTTCGGTGGTAACTTTAAATAGCGCTCTGTTGGATTCAAGATAATTAAGAGAAAAGCACCTTACTCATCTTTCATCCAGATCAGCTTGTATGAAGGTAGAATAGCATTAGAAATAAAATAGAAATATTTTCTGTGACTCGTACAACTTGCACTATAGACAGAAGCAGATCGGTGGCATTGCAACAAACTGTACATTACAGTAGGGCACCGCTTATACCGCAGGTTAGGGACCAGACCCCCGCCGTAAAGCGAAAATCGCCGTAAAGCGGATCTTTGCCTTTTTTCACTTGCAAATGCATATCAAAGCCTAATAAGATGTTTACACTATCATATAGTAAGTGCACAATAGCGCTAGGCCTAAGAAAACGATATGAAAGTAAAATGAATATCAGTAGTACACACATTGTGGCGCGTTTGATCTTCAATCCACACAACTAAAAGTTTTTCCATGTCAGCAATAAGGCTATCTCTCTTTCTTATGACTTTAGAGTTCATTCGTGTGGCACTTTTAATTTCATTTAACACTTTCTCCTTAGTGTTCACGATGGTACTAACAGTTTGGAGAGCTAGAATTAGCTTACGTCCTATCTCAGCCATAGACATGCCTTGTCCACGAAGTTTAATTATATCTAACTTGGCATTTAAAGTAAGAGGCTTATGACTCCTCTTTTTATCGCTACTACCCTTAGACGTCTTTGTAATTACACTGTAGTAACACAAAAATATTATATAAATATACAGTTTGTAATAACTTTGAAAAATTGCCAGAAATACGGAGACGCGGAGCGCACAAAAGCTGTAAACAGACTGAATCAGCGACGATAAAATGGCGCCGGATGCACTTCTCTGACTCAGCTGTTGAGCGCCGTATTAGCGAATCGCCGTAAAGCGGAGCGCCGAAAAGCGGGGCCCTACTGTACAACTCTTGAAAGTAACTTTTAACATCTCTACTAATCTATAACTAAACAATGGAATGGTTCTGAGACCATTTAATATCTTTTTTACCTACTTCTGGCTGCGTGGAAATGGTAAAGGAATGCAATGCTGAGGTAGGAACTTTCCTGCAATTGGATTCTACCTGTTCCCTCTTGACTGGATAATGATAGAGACAGCGACTGCCAAAGAGTACTTGCAATTTAATGTAGACTTGAAATCACAGACGAAGTCTAATATTTGCTGCATTCACAAAGTTTTGACTTCAACAGGGATAAGGAATGAGTGTTCTGAGACATTTGGTAAGCAAAAGCCAACATCTTGCGTCATTTGTCAGGTTATTATAAAATAACATTCAAAATTCTTTAGGTGAAGTAAACATGGTATTTTACTGTACAAATTTGAAAGAAAGTATTCTTTCCAAATGTACCACAGTTGAAAGAATACTTACTGTCCTGCTTTCACGTGAGTGTGTAACAAAATTATAGATGGGCACTTCAACTTTTTTGCCTTCTTTCAACCTCTGCAATGTACTTGCCATAAGCTCAAAATCAAAGGCATCTGGATGGTCAAAGTTGTATTCATTTTTAGCAGCAAGCTCATGTTGTTTCTCACTAAGTACCTGCGACAAGAAAAATTATTCATAGCTTGAACACATGTAAAGTAATCCCTGTCAAATATGGTTTCAAGTGCATGTTCAGAACGTTTGCTTAACCTTTATCATTATGAGAAGAGGGTATCTAAACTTGCATAGTATGGGGTTGCCAGGCTAACTTTAATTCCAGGATTTAGCAGTCTGCTTATGCATCAGATGCCCAGCAGGACTGGGCATCTGATGTGCTGTGTAGTCAGGGCGCCCTGATGACGGAGGCAGTGTGACCTCTGAAATGTTGGTGGAAATCTACCAGACTACAGGGCGCAATAATCCAGAAGACAGCAATCTTCAGACTCACCACTGTGAAAACCTCAATCCTACAGACTGTATGATTACTTTCAACAGGACCTGACAACACATACAGTCTTAACTCCATAGCTGCAAGTTTAACTGGTAAGTTATTAATGAACACTTCTGAACAGCTCATTCCCTAGACCTCAAACAATGTGAATTTTAATTTTTGGAGTGGCTTGCAAGACAATGTGTTGATCACTTTGCCTCACAAGCACACATTATATGAAAATATTAAGAAAGAAATATCCAAGATTTTTCCCCAGCAGAACTGCAATAAGTAAACAAGAAAAAGCATGTTCTTGTACTGTAATGGATATTAACGTGCAGAAGGAGAACATTTTCAACACCATCTCTGAACTAGAATATGGGTTAAAGCTTATTTTATTTTCTTGTACTGTGTTTGCAATGCACTAGATCACAGAAAAAGGGCCAGAGCAGCCTTGAGAACGCAGTATGCCAGAAAGTCCTAAAAAAGAGATGTCCCACCGATCTCATCTTCCATGAACAGCAAGAATAAATCAGTAAAGCTAACTGAATGAAAAACTGTGAGATTGTAATTATAATACCTCCTTGTAGCATATAACTTCACTGCCCATCTGGTAACAGTCATCCTGGCAATTAATATGATGAACTAAATTACAGGTTGAGAAGGCTGTGAAAGAGGTGGTTATAGCCTATTTGAAAATATTATCCCATAATTAACCTGGAAAAAGTGATGATAACAATGAAAACAAAGTCATCCTCCAGGTAAAAAATCTGAATTCATGTTTTTTTCACTTGAAAGTCATCCACTACATAGATACATTAAAGCTGAACTGATGAAAATTAATTACAATATAAAAAACTAAGGTTACCTTATAAAATGAATCCATGCTTAGTAAAGTCACCCATGGCACATCAAGTGATTCAATAATTTTGGCAGCAACAGTTGTTTTTCCTGAAGCACTTCCACCACATATGCCTGTAAGAAATAAAGGTTACCATCATAAAAAAAATATTACAACTCCAATACAAATGTACTACCTCATCATGATGTAACTGTCAAGGATTTTTGGCCTTGTGTCCCATTCTGGCTTCAATAATCCAGGAATCTTTTTAAAGGGCACCCTTTGTTTTTTAAACCTATTGGTTTGTGTTACAAAATTAGATGTGGCAATCTGTCCCTGTCCATTCTTCATACATGTTGGATCCAATTCCTTCTGTATCTGTGATTTTTTTCTGATGTCATATCTGTTCGCAGTTCTTTGGGGATGTCTTCATTTCATTTATGATCTCTCCATTGTATCTGGCTGGCTTTCTTAAAAATTTCATCTCTAATGCTGTGATTCTTCATTTGTCACTTTGTTTTATTGTCCAGGTTTCACATCCATAGAGAAGTGTAGGCATGGCCAAAGTTTTATATATTTTCAATCTAGTGTGGGTTGGGATTTTAGAGCGTTTAAAGATTTGATTAATGATGCCTGTAACTTGCAAACATTTTGATAATTTTACTGTGAGATCCTTAACATCGACCAGACTACACAGAGCAACAACCCAGAAGACAAAAATCTTCAGATCCTTTTCTGTTTCATATGATAATGTACAGGGTGGGTGGGAAGTAAGTAGGCATTGAGAAATGGTTATAACTCCTATATTTCCAATGCAAAGCGATTATTTAATGCCTACTTACTTCCCACCCACCCTGTACATCCAAGATAGTTAAATGTACTAATTTGTTGTATGATTGTGTTAATTATTATTACCTTGAATCTGATGGGACCTTGTCCTTTAAATGCCATGATTTTGGTCTTGCCTGTAGACAAATTTTTGTTATATTTTTAAGACACTGTTACTAATTTATGTACAGATTTCTGTAATGAATTTTCTGAATCAGTTATCAGGACCTAGTCATCGGTGAAGAGAAGAGTTTTGACATCTACATTTCTGGATAGTTTTAATCCACTTATGTCATCATCATTCCACTCAGAAATAATTTCATTAATATATATGTTAAACAATGTTGGTGAAAGAGGGAAACCTTGAATTACACCTATATTAATACTTATTGATTTTAATTTCGAGTTCAATTTAATTTTTATTTCATCGTGTTAACATATCAGCCTGAGGGGAGGAGACCACTGGGGAGACCTAGATGTAGATGGGAGGATAATGTCAGGCAGGATCTATGGGAAATAGGAGTTGAAGGAGACTGGATTTTGTTGGCCCGGGACAGGGTCCGGTGGAGGGCTTTGGTTAATTCGGTGATGAACCATCTAGTTAGTTAGTTAGTTCATATATCTTACACATTGCTTGTAACAATAAATCAGGTATATTTCTCTTACATAACATTTCAAATAACGTGGATCTATAAACTTGATCATAGGTCTTCTCATAATCCAGGAAAAGTAGGTGTTTTTCTAAATTAAATTATCTCCTCTTTTCTATTAATAATTTTAAGGTGAACACAGCATCTGTACATGAACAGCCTTTTTGATATCCACACTGGGGTTCTTCTAGAAATGTTTCTGTATGTACCTTTAATTTACTGTTTAGTATTTCTGCATATATTTTGTAACAAAATATTATACATACCAATCACAAATGGTTCTACTTGCTGTCCTGCTGAGTTGTACCATGGAGGACGTCCAGCTGTATATATAGTTCTTGTATGACTGCGAAGTATGGATTCTGTTGATGTTTTCTTGGAAGACTGTGACATGGATGCAGTTCGCTGGTGCTTTGATCTTGGAGATTTTTGTGAACCTGTAGATGGAGGTCTAGGAGACTGGGGTGGGGGAGGAGAGTCTGGATCTGGGTAGTAATCTTTTTCATCTTCTTCAGCTCCATCTTGTATAAAAACTTGATCATTACTTTCTACTTCACAACCATCACTGAAATGAAATACTAATTCAATTTTATAATTGTTCCAACAGAGAAGGAAATTTAAATTCTACACATTATTCCACGTAAACACATGACACAATTTTTACACATGACAACAGTTTTATTTGGTTTAATTCTAGGTTAATACTTTGTGGAACATCAATTTCAAAATAAACAACATATCCCTTAGTAACAATCGCTTTTTTGCCATTAGATGACGTTACATTACAAAACTAGCTCACCTTTGTACGTGGCAAAAAACAATGGTGAATTCCTGCTTTTACGAACACAGTTATGAGGAGTAAGGTGCATAATCTTGGCTCTTCAAGGGACAAACGCCTATGCAAAGTCATAATTCCAACCTTAACAAATATAGCAGAGTAGACAGTAGCATGCACATGCACGATTCTTCGATGAGCTAACGCCTATGCAACCATATTCACTAAAATACCGAAGTGAATCACTAAATTCCACCTTTATACTTCGACATGGTTGACTACCAGTTTTATGACACCCAGTCAATAAACCGTTATTTTTTTTATTTTCAAATGTAAACCGCACGTACAATAAAACTACCGACAATGCTTTTCATTACATTAGTAGGGAATGTGTGTCTTTTCTGGCCCACATGCTGTGCAAATCATGTCCTCAGTGCAATCTTTGGGAAGTATTGCTGACGAGACATGTGATTAATTGGAATGCGTGGGGAGACGCTCTATCCACTGTTAAATTTAATGCCACCTGAAGAAAATTGAACTTGACTGTACACGTCACTACAGCCAAATACATCATAGCAGTTACTATTAAGCAAATTAATACAGAAGTTTTTTTTTTACCTCTCCGAACTTGCT